CCAGAAAAAAACAAAAACAAAAACAAAATGAAACTAAAAACAAACGAAACAGAACTAACAAAACAAAAAAATCCACAGTTTGGTAGTAAATATGGATTTAGTGCGTTTCACCATGGTGCCCTCCTAGTTTTAAAGTAGCCTTCTTAACGATCTGGACTATCAGCTCAGCCGGCTCCCGGCTCTCCTTGTCTTCTGTTCCACGCAGAATTAGGGCACAGACAGGCGGTGCCTCGTGGGAGTTTGTGGTTTTGGGTGTGAAATGGAGTAGGCGAATAACTTTAGCTGTGCATTACACTATGGGGGTAAAAAAATTGCAACATAAATGATTTTGGTGTCATTAGAACCAGAAAACCTTCCTCTATAACATACTGAAAATCGACATGAATCGGAAGGGAGGAAATTTGTTTCAAATGCTTTGAGGGTGCTTTTCATGGGAAGTCAAGGGGGTAGAGATCTGAGCGTATTTGGGGGTGATTTAGAGAGTGCTTTTTTCGAGGGGAGTTTACAGAGTGCTTTTTGTGAGTTTTGTTTTGTTTCTCTAGATACCAGAACATCGGAAACAAACAAACATTCCCCGCCTCGCCTTTTGATGGAATCCACTAGGAAAGAGAAAGAAGGAAAGATCTAAAAAATTTTAGAGGAAAGACTTTCATATTATATTCTGTCTGTAGCCGGGTGCCTATTATTCCCACATCGTCGAAGTGAGAAAAATTCGCGCAATTGCCTCTCACATATATTCTGTGTCTGTCTGCCTGCCTGCCTGCCTGCCTGCCTGCCTGAATTTTTAAGTCATTGGGGAATTGGGATTGCCGTTGCACAACTCCCCCATGTTTCTGAGTGATGGTCTCCGCTTACGGCGCACGGGTACACAGAAACGGGAGGAAGACAGGACGGTGGGGGGAAAAGCTTACACCAGGTGCACACTGCCAATTGAATTCCGCGAAATTCAGTCGGATTGAGTAGGGGTTAGACAGATTTTTTCTTCCCTGCAAGTGCAAGGGCAAAAGCTGCCACTGCGACACAGTTCGACCGAATTCGATCGTGGCCTTCAAAAATTTAATTGTTTGTTTTTTTCAACCTCTCGAGTCGAACGATCGGATATTTGCAGCATGCGTGCGGAATGGCCATGCGATAACGGACAGTGTTGATTTTGGACAATCTTAAACTGATAGATCTAGAAAGCTATCGACATGTTTCTATAGAGAAGCCTGTAGTATTCAAGAACCTCCAAATCAGAAATTGCAAAATGCGGCAGTCGACAGTCGAAGCCGTTGTGGAAGGAAATGGCTTTGTTTTGATTGGTGAGTAATGTGTTCAACAACACCTTGGGCCGTGGGTGGTTGGCGGGTGCTCCTGTGTGGTTTGTGTCTGCTTTCCTATCAAACATCTATCGTCCTTATCTCCCCCTTCTTCTTTTTTATGTTTGTTTCTCTCTTGTAACACCTCTAATCTTCTGGCACTCATATGACCTTATGCAGTTGCGAGCGCCGTAAAACCTCTACTAAAACAAAACAAAAACAACTTGGGCCGGTCAGAGGTTTTTGCTTTTGTCCAATTCAACACAACAAGGAAGGGATCTGTTGGTAGTTCTCACTTGACCCGCCTTTGTTTGACCCGATCCGATTGGATCCGATCCGAACCGACCCGATCCGATCCGACCCGATCTGGTCCACAATGGGCACTTGGTATAAGGTCGTGTGTTGGCCGATGACGTCACTGGTGGGACCCGATACTGTGGAATGTGGTTTTCTCTTGTTCTCGGGAGTGTTGAAGAAGAGGTGGAGTGAAAGAAAGGGG